AAACACATATAGTTAACAGACCAAGAATAAACACAAATAGTTACAGGACCAAGAATACACACATATAGTTACCGGAGCAAGAATAAACACAAATTGTTACCGGACCAAGAATACACACATATAGTTACCAGACCAAGAATAAACACATATAGTTACCGGACCACGAATGAACACATATAGTAACCGGACCAAGAATAAACACATATAGTTAACAGACCAAGAATAAACACAAATAGTTACCGGACCAAGAATGAACACATATAGATAGTTACCGGACCAAGAATAAACACATGTAGTTACCAGACCAAGAATAAACACAAATAGTTACCGAACCAAGAATACACACATATAGTTACCGGACCAAGAATAAACACACGTAGTTACCAGACCAAGAATAAACACAAATAGATACCGGACCAAGAATAAACACAAATAGATACCGGACCAAGAATAAACACAAATAGTTCCCGGACCACGAATAAACACAAATAGTTACTAGACCAAGAATAAACACATGAGGTACCGGACTAAAAATAAACACAAATAGTTACCGGACGAGGAATAAACACAAATAGTTACCGGACCAAGACTAAACACAAATAGTTACCGGACCAAGACTAAACACAAATAGTTACCGGACCAAGACTAAACACAAATAGTTACCGGACCAAGAATGAACACATATAGATAGTTACCGGACCAAGAATAAACACATGTAGTTACCAGACCAAGAATAAACACAAATAGTTCCCGGACCACGAATAAACACAAATAGTTACTAGACCAAGAATAAACACATGAGGTACCGGACTAAAAATAAACACAAATAGTTACCGGACGAGGAATAAACACAAATAGTTACCGGACCAAGAATGAACACATATAGATAGTTACCGGACCAAGAATAAACACACGTAGTTACCAGACCAAGAATAAACACAAATAGTTCCCGGACCACGAATAAACACAAATAGTTACTAGACCAAGAATAAACACATGAGTTGCCGGACTAAAAATAAACACAAATAGTTACCGGATCAAGAATAAACACAAATAGTTACCGGATTAAGAATAAACACAAATAGTTACCAGACCAAGAATACACACATATAGTTACCGGAGCAAGAATAAACACAAATTGTTACCGGACCAAGAATACACACATATAGTTAGCAGACCAAGAATAAACACGTATAGTTACCGGACCAAGAATGCACACATAAAGTTACCGGACCAAGAATAAACACAAATAGTTAACGGACCAAGAATAAACACAAATAGATACCGGACCAAGAATAAACACAAATAGATACCGGACCAAGAATAAACACAAATAGTTACTAGACAAAGAAAAAACCCATGAGTTACCGGACCAAGAATAAACACAAATTGTTACCGGACCAAGAATACACACATATAGTTACCGGAGCAAGAATAAACACAAATTGTTACCGGACCAAGAATACACACATATAGTTAGCAGACCAAGAATAAACACGTATAGTTACCGGTCCAAGAATACACACATAAAGTTACCGGACCAAGAATAAACACAAATAGTTCCCGGACCACGAATAAACACAAATAGTTACTAGACCAAGAATAAACACATGAGTTACCGGACTAAAAATAAACACAAATAGTTACCGGATCAAGAATGAACACATATAGCTAACAGACCAAGAATAAAAACAAATAGTTACTGGACCAAGAATAAACGCAAATAGTTACCGGACCAAGAATAAACACATGTAGTTACCAGACCAAGAATAAACACAAATAGTTCCCGGACCACGAATAAACACAAATAGTTACTAGACCAAGAATAAACACATGAGTTACCGGACCAAGAATAAACACAAATTGTTACCGGACCAAGAATACACACATATAGTTACCGGACCAAGAATAAACACACGTAGTTACCAGACCAAGAATAAACACAAATAGTTACAGGACCAAGAATAAACACAAATAGTTACAGGACCAAGAATAAACACAAATAGTTACAGGACCAAGAATACACACATATAGTTACCGGAGCAAGAATAAACACAAATTGTTACCGGACCAAGAATACACACATATAGTTAGCAGACCAAGAATAAACACGTATAGTTACCGGACCAAGAATGCACACATAAAGTTACCGGACCAAGAATAAACACAAATAGTTAACGGACCAAGAATAAACACAAATAGATACCGGAACAAGAATAAACACATATAGTTACCGGAACAAGAATGAACACATATAGTAACCGGACCAAGAATAAACACATATAGTTACCAGACCAAGAATAAACACGTATAGTTACCGGACCAAGAATACACACATAAAGTTACCGGACCAAGAATAAACACAAATAGTTACCGGAACAAGAATAAACACATATAGTTACCGGACCAAGAATGAACACATATAGTAACCGGACCAAGAATAAACACATATAGTTACCAGACCAAGAATAAACACGTATAGTTACCGGACCAAGAATACACACATAAAGTTACCGGACCAAGAATAAACACAAATAGTTACCGGACCAAGAATAAACACAAATAGTTACCGGACTAAGAATAAACACATATAGTTACTGGACCAAGAATAAACACCTATAGTTACGGGCCAAGAATAAACACATATAGTTACCGGACCAAGAATAAACACAAATAGTTACCGGACCAAGAATATACACAAATAGTTACCAGACCAAAATAAACAGATATAGTTACCGGACCAAGAATAAACACATACAGTTACCGGACCAAGAATAAACACATATAGTAACCGGACCAAGAATAAACACAAATAGTTACCGGACCAAGAATAAGCACATATAGTTACCGGACCAAGAATAAACACATATAGTTTCCAGACCAAGAATAAACACAAATAGTTACCGGACCAAGAATAAGCACATATAGTTACCGGACCAAGAATAAACACATATAGTTTCCAGACCAAGAATAAACACAAATAGTTACCGGACCAAGAATAAACACATGTAGTTACCGGACCAAGAATAAACACAAATAGTTACCGGCCCAAGAATAAACACATATAGTTACCGGACCAAGACTACACACATATAGTTACCGGACCAAGAATAAACACATATAGTTTCCAGACCAAGAATAAACACAAATAGTTACCGGACCAAGAATATACACAAATAGTTACCAGACCAAAATAAAAAGATATAGTTACCGGACCAAGAATAAACACATATAGTTACCGGGCCAAGAATACACACAGATAGTTACCGGACCAAGAATAAACACATATAGTTTCCAGACCAAGAATAAACACAAATAGTTACCGGACCAAGAATAAGCACATATAGTTACCGGACCAAGAATAAACACATATAGTTTCCAGACCAAGAATAAACACAAATAGTTACCGGACCAAGAATAAGCACATATAGTTACCGGACCAAGAATAAACACATATAGTTTCCAGACCAAGAATAAACACAAATAGTTACCGGACCAAGAATAAGCACATATAGTTACCGGACCAAGAATAAACACATATAGTTTCCAGACCAAGAATAAACACAAATAGTTACCGGACCAAGAATACACACATATAGTTACCAGACCAAGAATAAACACAAATAGTTTCCGGACCAAGAATATACAAAAATAGTTACCAGACCAAAAATAAACAGATATAGTTACCGGACCAAGAATAAACACATATAGTTACCGGACCAAGAATAAACAGATATAGTTACCGGACCAGCAGTTAACCCACATAGTTACCGGACCAGCAGTTAACACACATAGTTACCGGACCAGCAGTTAACCCACATAGTAAACGGACCAGCAGTTAACCCACATAGTTACCGCACCAGGAGTAAACCCTCATAGTTACCGGACCAGGAGTAAACCCTCATAGTAAACGGACCAGGAGTGAACCCACATAGATACCAGACCAGGAGTAACCCCACATAGTCAACGGACCAGGAGTAAACACACATAGTTACCGGACCAGGAGTAACCCCACACAGTTATCAGATAGAGGAGTAAACCCAACTGTGCATACATGAAAAGTACACTAAAAATATCTTGTGATTTGCTTGCATCAGGATAAAGCTCGTTAATATGGCACTACATTTATTTCTTCATGACCAATTTATAAATTAACTGAAACACCCTGTTTAATTGCGTACAAGTAGATATATTTGTAGGTGAATTGCTATCATTTTAAAATGGTATATAACTACTTTGTACCATCTTTTTAAATTGACATTATTTAATGCTTTTAATTTATTAATGCAAATTATGAAAACAATATTTGTACTGTTAAGACTGGGGCAAGGCAATTGAGAAGTAGACGTGGAGTGTTTTTTTGTTGTTGTTGTCTTTTTATGAACAACGTGAAACTTTCGTGTGATTTCATAACAACAGGCATAACAAAATGTAGTTCAATTTTTTAAAGTTTATTATAGCAGGTAGTATGTTATAATTGTCATTTGTTCTAAACAGATGATTGCACCTATAACATCAATGTCATACCGTTGAAAGTCTCTTGAAATTAGCACATTGATAATGATTTTAATTTGGTCTTCACGGCGGATGGACAACAAAAATACATCAGTGATATGGTCAACGTATAGCAATACGCACAGTGATGAGGTAGCTTATGTTATACAAAAATAAATTAAGTACATTCTCGCAATGGGCTAGGACATACAGAACGTACTTGTTACAACCATGGAAGTGAAAAACATTTTGTGTCGGCATCATGTGATGTCTTGGTGAAGATACGGACAATTGATTGGCCTATTACAAACTCTTCAATGGAACACAGTTAAAGCAGTGAACGAATGTGTCTGCTGTGGTATCATTGCACGTCACACCGGGTACATCGCAGTGGTTCTACGGTAACGGAATGACATCCTTAAGCACACCTCGATACTCCAGGGGCTACGCTCACTTTCGCTCTCTGCATCCGTGGAATATGTCATAGCACAATTTAACACATGCGACTAGCTATTTGATTGATGTTAGGAAACAAAAACTGACCAATCGCAAGGCTGATACATGTCCTTTGAAGATTACAGGGGAGCGAACTTTGACTTTAAAACAAATCCATTTTACCGTTACTCTGTCGCGAGATTATTTTTATGTAAATCATAGAATCGTCTTCTTGTCTCATCCACCAGCTCACTGAGCCTTCAATGGTGCTATGGCATATCCAAGAGGTGCAGAGAGCGAAAGTGAGCGTAGCCCTTGTATATCGAGGGGACGCTATGCAGGGAAGTCAATCAGTCCTCGATGTTTGTACCAATGGACTTGCCGACACTTACTATCGATACGTTATTCTCAATATATATGACATATTAGAACGATTGTACACAATGCAGATATGCTATAAGGGAATCACCAAGCTAAACAAGCGTGATATTTTCCAAAACGGATGATGTGGGAATTGAGATCAGTCTATTGATGAGTTCTAAATATTCTAAAAAGTCAGAAACAACGGGAGTTAATTCCGTCAAAATGACGCCACATTCAAAATACACACCTATTGGAAACAGGGGGAGATAATTCAGTCGGTAACACTAAAATTGATGACGTCACAGCAATACACACACATGATGAAGTGATGAGGAGGGAGGGCCGTAGGTTCATGGGGTTGCTAAGGCGCCATCTTGGATCCAATACTCTTTGTGGCTTTCTACATCGACTAACTTAATTCTAAAATAGGCGTTTCATTGCTTCGTATTCAAAGTGATTACATAACAAATGATACCGGAGTCGGTAGGAAAACCACAGCAAACTGATGCTCGCATTTCGCCATGCTTTCTAGTAGTTGTTCCTGCTTCGGCGCTGAAATATCAGTTTGGTTTGAGAAGCACCAACGGGTTGATTGCCATGGCCGATAATGTTTCCCTTTTTTCAAAAACACGTGTTTTAAGTTGTCCGCCTTTTTATTTGTGAAGGTTTTGAAATAGGAGCTCTTAGAGCGGCGCACAGTCGAGGTAAAACCCAGGTCAAAGCTTCAGGTATCGTGAAATCAGCACTGGTCAGATGGTTTATCATGACTGGGAGACCGCATTGTCTATCTATGATAACAGGAATGATTTTGCGATCTCGTCTACCTTTGAAAATGAAATTGTAACAATAGGTCAAATACGTTACATTTAGATTTTTATTTTGTTTGAATTATAATTACTGTAGCTGCTAAATAGTGTGAATTTAGCAGACCTCGGTGGTAGGGGGCTCCCCAACCCTTGGAAACCTAAATTTAGCTACAAGGTAGAACTAGAAAAGTTTATCGATATCATTTTTTATGTGCTTTAATGCGGTAAATGTAAAAGGATTTTTTTGATTTATTATATTTTATAATATGTAAGTACAATATCCAGAGAGCTAGTTAGGTAGGGGCTGTCCCAATCACCTGCTCTCTAGGCTGGAACCTGTGAAAGTTTGTTTTAATTTATTAATAAATTACGTGTTATAACTTTTCTTAACAAAATTATGACATTATGTCTATATTTTAACATTAAGAGGATTGATCCCTGCTATGTTATATGTTTTTTATACTGTGTAACTATATACTTGTACGATGTAATTTTGATATATGAAACTATAATGAACAACTTGACTTGACTTTACTTGAGTATAACGCAATTTCATTTCAAAAAAGTATATATATGTTATAAGGTCTGCTTTTACTCCAAAATTTTATTTGGTAAAAGCTTAAATGAATACGACGTAAATTTCCCATCATAAAGCATGAACTATATATTTTTATTCTTACAGTGCTTATTCCGTCTTTGCATATTGCAGAGTTATCTTTTCTTGGGAGCAGGTTTTGATTGTTACGTCACATGATTGTGAGAGTAACGTCATCAATTTTTGAGAAAACGACGTAATGTTCTCACACAAACCAATGACGTAACAAGCAATACCTGCTCCCAAGAGAAGATAACACTGCAATACGCAAAGACGGAATAAAAGATTGGTTACATGATTATGTATATATATACTTTCATAATTGGAAACATGTTAAAATTGTTACGGTTGAATGTTGTAACAAACGGTATAACATCCTTTTGACTTGTATTGGCACTAATTGGTTCGTTAGCTGAAATCGGACCCTTCTCCTTAGCTCTTTGAATACCGTTAAATATAATTTCGTCTGGATAGCATTGTTTTCTAACAAACATTTTCATCAGTGTTGAAATGATCAGTTTTTAGTTTTACCAATTTACCAAAATGAACACATCAGATACTATTGCAAGAGAGTTAAAAGAGAACATGTTTATCAAATTCTAAAACCGGTCTTGAACGCGGGAAATTTCGAGCACCTCTTATAAATTTTAAATTTACAAATTCCGTATGTTTAATATGTTAGGATGAACTAAGTATTGTGCTTTGAAATTCACTATGTTTTTAACTTTTACTATTGAACAATGTATTCATTTGAGCATTTGTAATATGCTCCGTTTCTTTTTCCATATATTTCATTGACGCATTAAATGCTAGATAATAATACGTCTTTTACCATATCACACCCAGTATCAACCCGAGACTGCAATATCAACCCAAGGGCCAAAGGCCCGAGGGCTGATATTAGTCGAGGGTTGATACTGGGTGTGATTTTGAAAAAATAATGTTTTATTCTGTTTATTACATACTTACTAATAAAAGCTACTATCTTATGATAAACATTTCTTTTGAAATATTGAAAAACAAAAAAAAATAATCCAAAAGGGGTGTGATACGGGTTTTGCGGGCTGATACGGGTTTTGGGATGTGATACTTTGAGGGCTGATATGGGTTAGAGCAATTGTGTCGTATCGCATATACAAAAAAAGTATTTATTAGTAAGTATGTAACAAAAGTACATTCATGTAATCTTTTTAAGACGTCGCAATTTCTAGACGTCCGCATTATGTGTACTTTGTTTATGACGTCATTATTTTTGACGTCTTAAGTATGCGTACTCCATTTATTATAACGTCACAAATAAATTTAAATACCCTGAAGAGACCCAAGATGGGCGAAAGCGCTAGCCAATTATACTAGTCTTCGTGTTTTGTTTTATTTATATATATGTAAAACATATATCGCATCGACAGTATAAAATGCAATAGCTGAAATTTTGTTCCAAACCCAGAAAAATCCCATTTTCTATCCATACATACATTTTCCCTTCATTCCGGCAAATATTTATTGAAAAATGGACTTACTTTAGGGGGAGAAACAGATCATATCTACAACTTATGAACCTTATAAATTTCAATTTCCAAAAAAAATAAAAAAATATTAAGGTATGGATAATTTTTAAAAGAAAAGAGTTAAAACCAAGAGGTCGGTCATTCACACCACAATCGACCATTTAACAATTTTTTTTTTTCAATCAACAAAAATATAGATTTTTTTTTTGAGTTTTCCAATGATGAAAATTCCTGTGCACAATATCGAACTTAATAGGTGTTATTTAAAATAGGATATTTTGTATTTGTTTTTCTTCTGTATAGTGAATATTCCAACAAACCTTTGAGAAATATTTGGACTTAAGATTCAACAAAACAAAATGTGAAAGGTGTTAAAAATGTTTTGAGTTCTAGATTTGTCCTTTTAAGAATCCCCGTACCACTGCCAATTAACAATTTCTGATAAGAAACCCGTACCTTGGGGGACCTCTATGATTGATAATAGGGAAGAAACAATATCAATGTAATCATCAACAGTGTTCTGAGTGTAAAAAGAAAGAAGAAAAATCAGTGAGGCTAGACCGGTATTTGAACCCTGGACTTCAGATTGATATACAATTGCTCTAACCGATTGGGATAGCTTTTCAATTGTGCTAGAGTAATAGTTAAACAAAAGTTAAAAGGAAGTTGCTGTATATAGGAAACTCCACAGTGCAGTGGTAGAGGGTTCCTCAATACAATGGCGACAAGATATATCCAATGGGTTTGTGTATAAAATTTAAAAAAAAAAAGAAAAACACCAAAAAAACAGTGTCTGTAGAAAATATTGCTTAATCATACTATTCCGCTAAGACTTGTTCTTTCCAGAGACAATATTCGTTTCCTTTAGGTACACAACTGTCACATTGGGCGATAAAAGCATAACACTTTTTTACATGATACAAAATAGTCTCACATGTTAAAGGTCGACTCTTTTCTCTCTTAGCATGACTATCACGTTGCTCATACAATGTGGTTATCGTATGTAATGGAAGAGCGTTGGTGGACTTGCGTGTCATGAAAACTCTTTTCATTAAATAGTCTTGTGTTAATATTTCCCCACCTCAGCATTTGCAGAAATACGGGCCCAATATATAGAACGCCAATGTGGGGTAACTCCATCCCACTTATGCGCACCTAGTGAACGGTTCGGAGACAAAAAAAATCTTTTAAATATTGACTATAGAGAATTCCATATATTAATCATTTGTGCTCGAAAGGGAGAGGAATTAATTTTAGCTCTAATCTTGTTTTCTAATCCCTCTATAACCACATGTTTAATAACCTTGCCTGATCAATATTATTTTATTTTTTATTTTATTTTTCGATTTGTTTGGTTAATTTGAACAGTATCTAAAAAAGATGTAACTGTTGTTGCTATGCGATGTCATTGGCGATATTTTCCTAAATGCCTGGTAAGTTGTGGGATAAAAAGGAAATAAAAAAGTAGCTAAGGAACCCGGAAACCGGACAAAAGTTCCTTATTATTTTTGTTTGTTATTGTTACACTCGTGTGAGGAGGGTTTATACGAGAGTGTAAAAAAAGTGAGGTAAAAAGAAGAAATTACAGTATGAGAGTGTGAAAAAGTGAAAGAGAAAAAATGAATAAGTGTTGATTTGTGAAGAAAGAAAATAGTATTGTGGGTCGTAGCTGGGGCAGCCCATCCCCAGACGACCCACAAATGATGTATACAAGCCTAGGTTATTAAATGTATATATATATATATATATATATATATATATATATAACAAAAAAACAAAAAACAAAAGTAAATAATTATTTAGGAACATGTATGTGGGATAGGACAATTCTACCCTCAGGTATAGAATTTGGGCTAAGAGCCTCGGCAAAACTTGCGGTTCTGACCCAATATTATACCCTTGGATATATAACCCTATGCCACATACCTTTATATTGATAACATCAAAGATTATCTTGCACATAAAATTAAGAAGTCGAAAAAGAACTCACAGTTTGGTATATCTAAGGCAACATTGACAGTGAAATCTGACATCTTGTCAACTGCATAGTCTTTCGACATCACGAGAAGTAGCCGGTTACATCTAGTAAAAAAAAAAAAAAAAACTCAAATAAATTTCGTGTCGATAAGATTATCATATTCTTCATAAAAAATAGCGACAGCATTACGTTTATTAAAAGCAAAGTACATGAGTAAATCAGATCCAAAAATTAAACGAGCAATATTCAAAATCAAGTAAAGATAATAATTTGTATATATGTATTTGCATTATCGGCTGATGGAATTAGAGAATAAATCGTTTTAAATGTTCAATATGAGAACTTTGTTTGTCGATAAAAGGAAAATGTTGAAACCTGTTAAATTTATTAAGTAATACTTATTGTTACCTAACTGTTAGAAAAAGTTAATTTATTGGTGCAGAATATTTCGTTTGTAAGAACACCGATAATAAATTCACAATGAGAACATACTTATGTTTTATAGTTTCTGATATAATGGAATTGTTGTCTTTGTCGATAAGGTTCTCGTCTGGTAGGAAAAGATGAAAGTTGAACGGTTCCTGTTCTAGGATGTTTGCCAACATTCGAACAAATTGTCTATCCCTGTCTGACGATCCGTGACTTACGTAGGCATCATAGTTGTGTTTAACTACAAACAAAACAAACAACACACAAATAACAATCAATTGTAATTGTCATAAACATAAACAAGCAAATTATATCGTTGTTCACACATGCAAATGATAACTAATTGTGAGTATCGTTATTATTTATATAAATTCGTAACAAACAATCACAAGTAGTTATCACAAGCTAATGATAAATAATTTGACGTATCATCATTTTCACAAAAACGATGGACAACCGTATTATCATTTTTATCATCAACAAACAGCAAACTATTGTATTTATCATTAATATAAGTATCAAATTATAAACAGTTATATCATTGCAAAAATAAACGAACAACTGTATGATTATTTTTATTAACAAACACCTGCATTTATAAATACTCTCTTAAGCAAATAATAAACATTTTTTGACATTTCTCTTAAGTTATTATCTAAATATCAATACCTCTTAAAATAGATAGCTTCAAATGGTAAAGCCGATGTTGTATCAGATGTATTTCTTGCTCTATACACTAAAGCAAGAAATTCATTCAAATTAATTGTTTAGTTCAAAAAAAAGTAGCTAAAAGATAATATAAAATCTCATTCACCTTCGCATCGTTTCCCATATTCCTTCGTAATCTTATTATCGGGCATTTTCACAAGATGTGCGCTTGGTATTGTATATCCTAGGGCAAGTTGAACAAACGTTATAATGTACAGGTAGACGCTAGCATTTAAATACACCGCAGTACTCTAAAAATCATCTATTTTTAACAGACCAGGAAAAGCCTTAATTATGTAGTGGATAGTGACCAATCACGGTATTGCAGCCTGCTAGTGGGTAGCAGACGACAGCGGCTCGTCCAGTGGTACGTAACCTGAATAAGCGACACATGGTGTGCGGAGTTAATTTTGTATAACATTACAGTCACAGGGTAGGATATGTGTGATTGATCACGTCAACAAAGAACATAACCGCTCAGTGGGCAAAACGCGGAAGTTTCTGTATTTATACTGATAGTTTTCAGAAGGGAATTTCAATGTATATACCTGTTCCAATTTATATATCATTATAGGCCTGGACTCAATGTCTCATGTTTGAAGGTGAGGCGGTATGGTGCAAAAGGAGCTGCGGGTATTTCTAGGCTAGGCGATTAGGTGATGTAGGTTGTGAGCTCGGGGCTCGGACAGGACACGAGTCATACAATTGTCTTCCTTCTTCCTTTGTTTTTATGTGCCATTTATTCAATTAATAAACACCATGTATCATAAACACTAGTGTTTGCTACCTGTCGTAATATATATTATATGTATCAAATGATTAGCCTTCGGTTACAGGCTAACCGAGGGGATATGCGATTGCAGCAGCATATTTCAGAAAAGATTACTGTTTTTTATTGTTTAAATATTTTACGTAGTAGATTTGTTTCACAGTGTCTTTGTTATATGTTGTGTTATGTAAGTGTTTATGTTTCTGTCTTAAAAATGGGCGAGTCGCCCTGAACATTTGACAAATTCCTTTGTCCGCTCTATCGTTATTGCTTCTTTTCCCATGTATATATTGATATGTATCAATGATTCATTCTGTATATCATACATTCTTAACAATAGATGCCTGATCGATGTTTTAAATGTGTATTTAAATGACATTATATCTCTGACATACAGGCAACCTATTGTAACAGACATATTCAGTCTTTTTTTCGTTTATCGATGATATCTAGTAGTATTACCAACAGAATCGTAAATATATGAAAATGTACTAGGCGAAAATATAATATAACGATGATATCAAATAATATTATGATAAAATCGAATAATATAATGATAAAATAAAATCATATATTTATGCAATCATATAATATAATGAAAATATCGATTCATATAGTATTTTTATGCCATATGTGACAGCTATGGCGTTCCATACGAAAACCTAGCTAACATACATACATGTATTGATGATAGTGATTTGAATTAAAGATTATGTATATAACTTCCTGGATTTAGACTGTGCTACAAAATGAAAATTTGCTTCATCATAATGTACTAGTGACCTTACAAGTAGTAAATTATAAAATGTGATCTAATTGAAAGCGAAAGTAGGGTGTTACGTGTTATTGACAAGTGAAACTACTCAAAATACATTATCTATTTATGTTTTTGCCAGGCGCGTAACTGTCATGTACGAAAATAGTGTCATGCACATCAAAGATCCTCAAATGGACTATTTCATTTATATTTATTGTGTGTGGTCTGAAAAAGTGATTAATGTTTGTACGGTTTGAAAAATAATTAACTTTTGATGGTTTTGTCCATTATCATAAAGAAATAAGGAGGGAAAACTTAATTTTTAGTAATTTTTATCACTCAAATATTGCTCCTAAAAGCAATCAGATAGCCTCCCCCATGTTTGCCAGGATAAATATCAAGTAAGTAGGTATAGTAAGGTGAGTGGCTTTTTGTTATGGTAATGCTCAGGTGTGTCATCAAAGTGTCACTGATATATGCAAATCAGAAAACAAAACCGTTATTCGAACTCGAAATCGGTAAATCTAGGTCAAAATATGATGAAAGAAAAGTACAAGAAAAAGAAGACCAGGTATTCCGGAAGGGTACTACCACCCACTATGTATTTCTATGTCAAATCCAAGTGTTGTCTGATTCTCGACCTCATAGCGAGAACTAAGGTAGCTATCGAGCCACTTTTCCAAGGCGTTAACATGTAATGTACTATTAGCTCACACTTATAAGGTTTATTCGCCAATAAGCCTCGTTTTGGTTTCGCATACCGGCAATACTCTCTATTGTTCTTATTGTCAATCCGGTGTTACACCCATTAACAAAATAGCCTAGTGGCCTACTTATAAAATAGATATTTTGTCAAAATTATGTCGAAAAATGCAGTTCTATGTCAACATGAGTGATGCATTATATTGATCTCATACGATCTGAAAATATGTCGACGTAATTGTAGAATTACGTCGACATACGTAACTCCTAAGTCGATGACAGAACTATTCCACCATAATAAAACAAAAGGTCAACAGTAATTTAGACCAAGTTAGATCACTGCCGAGTCCTACAAGGACGAAACAGTTGTATGATGCAGTGCTATTCATTTTTGGCAAACTGTATCTATTACCAACTGTTAAAGGTGCCCTCACCTGAGCGGGTGTAGTACGTTCTTCCTAAATAAGATCTATTTTGTTTCTTTATCCTCTTTCGATTAAATGTTTGATCGTAAATGTATTTTTAAAAGGCTCTAAATTTACGACAAGGTAGTTTGTCTAAGGGCCATTTCACTCATATTATTGGCCAGAAAGGGAATTGCATATAAGGGAAGAGGAAGCCTCATGTTAATCCAATAAATTGTTTAGCGTCGCAGCTTTGGAACACTAATTCGAGTTTAAACATATGTGGTTTTCATAAACAGTTAAGTAATTTATGATCATCTTTCCTGCGCAAAAGGTAAATGAAATGTTTATAACCAGTACCTGATCGAAAGACAAAAAACTTATTAAGGATCCCTGTCCCACTGCAGAGCCGTTTTTCCTATAAACAGTAACCTCTTAACTTCCGGATATAACTGTAGCACATTTGGTCCACGAAGCTCAATTGGTTTCAGCGCTGGTCTTACTGTACACTCTGAGGTCCAGCCCAAGATCATGAAATGATCTTAAGTATAGATTTGTCTTTAGATTTAACTTGGCCAATCACAAATAACGTCATAAAAAGTGACGTCATACGTGATTGGCTAAGCAAAAACTTAAGTCTAAGATTGTTTCATGATCCTGGGGCCAGGGTTCGATTCCCGGTCTGGTCCCGCAGGATGTTTTACACTCAGAATATGTTTGTTGATTATATTTTGTTTATTTAATCTCCATTATATTCTCATAAAAGTCCCGCAAGTTATACTTTTCTTTTTCAAAACTGATTTATCAAAGCCATAGTCATGCACGAGTTCTATTTTTGGCAGTGGTACGGGGATCCGTTAATATTCAAAGTGCCAATCTATCAACTGGAAACAGCCCTAAGGGTGAACTATAATGCTGTTACATCAAACTAGTGCCACCTTCTATTGGCGAAAGACACTACAATAAGTTAGTAAAAAGGATAACCGTAAAACACATACAGGTGATTACATCTACAAAATGTCGTGATTGATACAGAATTCTAAAAAAAGAATACCACTGCACCATGCAGCTTTTTCGTTCTTTAAGTCCACAGGGGCCAACAAGGTGGAGTTACAAATAAGCGTAAACAACTGTTGAAACGAAAGGGGAGGTTCTAAAAACCCTTAATACTGAGTGACGTATGTATATTTTGAAGTTTAGAAAAATGATCTGACCATCAAGGTTACGGCAACATTTCTGGACTACCACACTAAAAAAGTACGAAAACATAACTGATATTAAGTGTTAATCTGTTAAGTACAATATCTATGGGCGATAAACTCTACACTTAGTTAGTAAAAACAGATAAGCTAAGTACAATATTTATGGGCGAGAAACTCTACACTCAGTTAGTAAAAACAGATATGTTTAATACAATATCTATGGGCGAAATGATCTACACTCAGTTAGTGAAAACAGATAAGTTAAGTATAATACCTATGGGCGAGAAACTCTACACTCGGTTAATAAAAAAACCAGATATGTTAAGTACAATATCTATGGGCGAGAACCTATACACTCAGTTAGTAAAAACAGATAAGTTAAGTATAACATCTATGGGCGAGAAACTCTACACTCAGTTAGTAAAAACAGATATATTTAGTACAATATTAAGGGCGAGAAACTATACACTCATTTAGTAAAAAACAGATATGTTAAGTACAATATAGATGGGCGAGAAACTCTACACTCAGTTAGTAAAAACAGATATGTTAAGTACAATATCTATGGGCGAGAAACTTTACACTTAGTAAGTAAAATCAGATATGTTTAGTACAATATTAAGGGCGAGAAACTATACACTCAGTTAGTAAAAAACAGATATGTTTAGTACAATATGAAGGGCGAGAAACTATACACTCAGTTAGTAAAAACAGAAGTGTTAAGTACAATATCAAGGGCGAGAAACTATACACTCAGTAAGTAAAATCAGATATGTTAAGTACAATATAGATGGGCGAGAAAATCAACACTCAGTTAATAAAAACAGATATGTTTAGTACAATATCAAGGGCGAGAAGATCTACACTCAGTTAGTAAAAACAGATATGTTAAGTACAATATCTATGGGCGTGAAACTCTACACTCAGTTAATAAAAACAGATATGTTTAATACAATATCTATGGGCGAGAAGATCTACACCCAGTTAGTAAAAACAGATATGTTAAGTACAATATCTATGGGCGTGAAACTCTACACTCAGTTAATAAAAACAGATATGTTTAGTACAATATCAAGGGCGAGAAACTATACACTCAGTAAGTAAAAAACAGAAGTGTTAAGTACAATATCTATGGGCGAGAAACTATACACTCAGTTAGTAAAAACAGATATGTTAAGTACAATATCTATGGGCGAGAAGATCTACACCCAGTTAGTAAAAACAGATATGTTAAGTACAATATCTATGGGCGAGAAACTCTACACTCAGTTAGTAAAAACAGATATGTTTAGTACAATATTAAGGGCGAGAAACTATACACTCAGTTAGTAAAAAAACAGATATGTTAAGTACAATATAGATGGGCGAGAAAATCAACACTCAGTTAATAAAAACAGATATGTTTAGTACAATATCAAGGGCGAGAAACT